TGTTATTTTCAAAAAATATTTCCTTGTGTCGCGTACACAAAAATTACATTCTTTGTAATAAGCAATACAATTATACCACTATAAGGATATTAAAAGAAAACGTAGTATTATGAAATACAGTATTAAAAGGTACTTATGCTGCTACAAACGTGTATAAGACTCAGTGTTTACATATGTGTCCGAGTAGAAGTGTAATCTATGTTTTGATACTATAATCTTATGTAGATAAAACTGATGTTTATCGTAAAACAACGATTCAAGTTCATAGTTTGGAAAAATATGTTGGAATATGTATAAGTATCTAGCTTTTTGTAATATTTCCTTAAATCCCTTTGATAAAAATTATTTAAATATTAATATCACAGAAACATTTGATAAAATAAATATATTATGCAGTGCTAAAAATATTTTTGAACTATGCAAGACACAAATGTCTATCAGCATTTATCCCATTTGCCATTAAAACGATATCGATCAATACGTTTTTCGACAATTCTGTGAAAAATACTTAAACTTCTTTTAATTTAATATGTTAATTACATAAGCTAATCGTAATTCGTATAAAAGAATTCATAAACATTTCTCAATGTTCGTACTGTCAGTGATACTATTCTATGAATCAGTGTATAACAAAATTATATGCGATAATTACCTATATATAAGATATATAGCATATAATTATTTAAACGAACTGCTCAATTATGTAAAATAGGATTGATGAATTATCACAGGCAGTACAATGGCTTAATTTAATTCTAGATTGTATCGGTTTCCTAAATTACCTTACTGCAAACCAATACATTCAACATAGTATAATTTAATAACAGTAGTAGATTTTACATCGAAGAACATGCAATTAGAAAGGATCATTAAAAATAAAAACCACTTTGTTATATTACGAATTAATTATTTTTTGAAAAATATAATAAATACCAAATAAGTAGAAAAGAAATCGAAATATCTTACTGAAAGTGCATAGCACGTAATTAGATCCTTCAAATTGAATGTTTTTCAATTTACACATAAAACCTAAGTTGTTATTAAAACGACACGTATTATTTTAAAATCAGTATCACTAGCCTTGTCAGCATTAATTGAAAATTCTTTGGCATGCAGCCCTCTCCTTCCTTTTTTCAATTCTTTATAATATTATAATTAATAAATTTCATATGCATGAAACAAAGTTTTTTGTACTAAATACACAGCCTTACTAGATTCACAAATTGTTCACTATCCAAATATAATTTGGACGAGTCAGATTGTTAGATTAAAATTTGTGTAAATTATGAATAAAGTAGTAAGGTTCTAAGAATTGCCTAAACAAATCAAATATCATCTTCAAGAATCATTGGAATATCTTTACGAAATCTCTCTTCGTAATGTATACAGTGTCTCTGAATAAAAATACAGCAAAAGAATACAACAGAAAATACACATACTATATGTATAAGGTACACACACCAGACCACACACCCATGTATTAACTTGCATCGAGTATGTACTTCGTGTCTATAAACAATTAGGAGGATAATAACGTACGGCAATAAAAAATATGAACAGTCGTTAATACTATACTTTAGTGAGATCATTTGTACATAAGTGATTTATGCACCATAAATGTACTTATAAAAAATATATCTCATAAATTAGATTGTAAACGAGGCAACGACTGCTTTCAAATTAATTATTGATCCATAAAACAGTCGTTACGTTACGTACAATCTAATCATTGATTTTCAAATTGATATTTTATACTTCAATCAATTCATTACAGTCACGATTATTCATTAATAATAATCTCTCGCGTTCAATTAAATATTCGATTATTCTGGAATGAAATATGCACCTCGATCAGAGGAAAGATTAAATGCTTTACATTTTCTAGTTGCACTAGACTGATATAAATCGGTCATAGAAAATCTCACCGCACACTACTACTAACACATCACTTCGCCGATGGCACAAAATTTCTGTCATTTAAATAGTTGTATAAATCTGTCGTCCGATAGCTTTCATTTTATTAACTTTCATAAAAAAATGCATCTCAATAACGACATGATACTTGAGACTTAAAACTGTTCCATATCGTGCGTAAAACTTTCTTAAAAAAAGGAACTTCGTCAGTTTATTTAAATTGAAATACCAAAGTGACTCATAACACATACATACATAAATACACACGTGTATACGCTAAATTATCAGTTTATACAACTACTTTGTGCGTGCGTGTGTATGTGTTTGCATATTTTCATAAACACGTATGCATATGTATGCTGGCGCACACATATATACATATATATATATATATAATATATATACATATATATATACATATATACATACACACGTGTGTTGCGTAAGAAACGTATTTCCGTACACATTATTCTCTTCGAACAACATAAAATCAATCATATCGCTCGTATTACATATATCATGATTCCGGAGCGGTTTACTGATCTTAAACCGGGACAGCGGCATAAGGTACGGTAGACTGTCTGCTTAGCGTGTACATGAATTAAAGTACTATTGAGGCGGAAATACCTGTTGTAGGAATCATAATAGTCTTTCCTGTCCGTAGGTGGAGGTCCCAAAGACATAAGCGGCGGTGGGTGACCTCCAGTGACTAGATGCGGCAACAGCGGTGGTATATTATGTTGAGTCGGTTGGTTCCTTATAGGATATCTCGGTATCGGCCTGTCCCTAGGAGGTAAATCACGCTCCCGATCTCTGAATTGATAATCATGGGCAGGTGAATCATTGTAGTAACTATTATACCCTTCTCTGGGCTCGCGTGATCTTGGTCTCTCCCTGTCACGATCCCTCTCTCTTTGGAATCTGAAAGTTTCATTTCAATTACATTTCTTAAACATGTTACGGTACCATATAATATTATATTATGATTGTATCATATAATATTATAATTGTATAATAATACAATTACACATATGCAAACCTTAGAGGTGATCTAGCCGGTGATCGATATCTAGAAAGTACTTCTCTATCCCGATCACGGTCTCGATCACGCCGATCTCGGTCCCTTTCTCTATCTCTGTCTCGATCCCGCTCTCTATCTCTTTCTCTATCCCGTTCTCTATCTCTGTCTCGATCCCTTTCTCTATCTCTGTCTCTATCTCGCGACAAAGATAATCTAGGGGATTGACTACGCGAATATGATCTAGACCTGTAAAATATTCATGACAATATTCATGAAAATATTGTAAATCGAATATTTTATGCGGAGGACATTGATGGACGGTGACTCGAAATACGAGAATAATTTGATTTACCTGCTAATCGAGAAACTTCTGCTTCTTGATCTACGTTTCGGCGTGCGACTTCGCGCTCGCAAAGGTAATGGCGATCTCGAAGACCTTCTCTTTGAAGGAGGGCTTCTAGATCGACTTAAGCGAGCCGGGAATGGTGATCTACGGCCGAATGAACGCGATCTAGATCTACTGTAACTGCGAGATCTTGATCTTGTTCTGCTTCTTCTTCTATGTTTGCCAAGCCTCCTATCTCGTTCATCTTTCTCCCTCAACATTCGCTCGAAAGCTTCCAAAGGATCGTCGATTATACTGGAAGATAATGTTAATGACAACATAAGTTAATCGTCTTCAAATTTGTCACAATTTTCTTCTGGAAAACGTTAACTCACCCAGGTGGATTGCCATTGTGTATATTTCTACTTAAACCTGGTGGCGGCGGCTGTAATCCTCGGTAACTAACTGGAAAAACGTATGCGATAATTAAAACATGTTTAAGTCTTTTTATTATGTAAGAAAATTTAAATATTTTTAATTACTTACTATGGTGCATGCCTCTAATTGGCCGTGGTGGTCCATTATAGTTTCTAGGTGGTTGCGACGGTCTGTAACCTTGTTGTTGATATGGAGGTCTTTCATATCGAGGTGGTCCATAGTGAGATCCTTGTTGATGTGGGTACATAGGTATCCGATGACTCATATATGGATCTGGCAATAAAGGTGCATTATGTGGTGGTACATTAGGTGGAGGTTGGTTATAACTAGGTTGTGGAATACGATCTTCTCCTGGTGGAAACGGTAAAAGAGGTGGCTGATTGCCAGAAGAAGGTACATGTAAGTGTGGTTCGTCAACCTAAAATGTATATTCATGTTAAGCAGTTTGGCATCTTGGGAAAATTAAGTTCTAAGATTTTATTTGCTGAGAAATACATACTGTTGGAGTGCCTGGTCGATCTTCAGTTGATCTACGTATAGCACTATCATAATGCATACTAGGAGGATAGTGTCCATCATCTGGTGGTAGTCCTTGATAACCTTTTGATGGAGGTGGGTTCATTAAGTGCGACAATGGTGCTCCTTGAGAACTATAATCACTATGTTGAGAATGTCTAGGAGACAAGGATCGTCTTCTACTTAATGGTCGCAAATTTTCCATTCTACGACCACGTTCTCCACTTCTGAAGAATAAAACATAAAATTAATAATCTGAGAAGACTAGTGAGGTTTTGGTTTCTATTCATTCGATGTTTTTACCTGTCACGATGACCATCTCTGCTGAAACTTCGTCTACGTTCTCTTGGTTGCCTTTCTCCCAAGTATTCATTCTCACGATCTTTCTTTTCTCGGCTTGGAGGATCACTTCTTTCTCTATCCCTTTCTGGAGAACTACCAATAGCAGGAATTGGAAGCAATGGCTCTGTTCCAGGAGGTGGTGGTACCTCAGTTTCTTCGTCTGTAGTCAACTTTGTTACAGAATCACTTTGCAAATCAGATTCTGATGTTGATTCAGGAAGAGCTATTAAATATGAATAATATTTAGCATAATGGCTTAAGCTTTCCTTCTATTGCATTGAATTTAGAGATTTCCAATGATTTATATTTATAAACTTGTACAATTTAGTATTTTGTCTTTACATTTGAGGTTAGGTGCAGATCATATCTGCTAATTTATAAACATAAATGTAACTTAAATATTATATAATGCGTTAAATTTACGCAAAAATTGAACTCATTAAAATGTAACAAGTAATTGCGATGTATATTGCTGTATAACAGAAAAAATATTTAAACTGAATTTGTCGTATATGTTCTATAATGGCGGTGACTACCCGGCAACTTCAAAAAAAAGGAAGCAAATTTATAATAAGAATTCATGTTACAAAAATAATTAGTTTCTCTTTATCGTGATATTTTCTTGGTTTTAAAGATATATAAGTAAATAAAATTAATTTATATGTTCTTAATTATATTTACAAGTAAAGTACATGAATTATATCAAAAAATAAATGGAACAATGGGTAGTTTTCTAGGAAATTTATAGATTGTTTGCTCTCACTTAAAATTGATTATTTTTTTTATTAGAATAAAACAAGATCATTTCGAACGTTCTATCAAACATTCCTAGACTGATATGTTCCTAGTTTTAAAGAGTATTAATAAATAGTTGAATTAAGAACAATTTATTTGTAACACAGAAAGAAAATGCTTAAAAGTAATAACTGAAGGGTACTATAAAACTTACTTACAACGGATTATAGACTTATTAAAATCAACTTACTTGCTGTTTGTGGTTGTGCAGTGTTTACTGGAAATTGCTGAGGAGCAGACTCAAAATTTGATGTTTGTGATTCTGTATTTTCTTGAGAAGTTGCACTAACTGCAACTGGAGCTTGAGCGGGTTTGCTTTGATTTAACGTTTGACTGGTATTCTGATCAGGTTTTTGTTGATCTACTTGTCTATTTATTTGTGTCGGCTGCCTATATGTCTGTCTCTTAGCATACCCTGTCTCATTCTTAAAATTCATTACCGCATTTCGTAAAAAGCGATTCGGTATAAGAGTTTCCGGTGAAACATCTTTTTCGTTGCAATCTGGACATTCGTGTTCTTCGGATTCTAATAAGAATGTACGGATACCTATTGCACAATATACAAACACGATGAAAAATATTGGTCATACAGAGCGAATTATAATCGTTAATAATATAAATGAACAAGAAAAAAAATTACATTCGTCGCAAAATGAATTCCCACAGCATGGTATCATTACTGCATCAGTCAAAAGATCTTTGCAAATGTTGCACAACAAGTCTTCTGGAATTTCTGGTTTTTCCACAGCAGGCTCTGGATCTTGTGAAAATGGTGGCCGTTCTTTTTTACCTTCTTTGTACGCTTGACTGTAAAAATGAAATATTATAAATAATACTGGCAATGTAAATTAAACGAGTTCATTACTTTTTATGGTGAAACTTACTGATCAATGGCTGGAACAGCATATTGGCCTGTAGGAGTCATCATAGCACCAGGAACTCTTGGTCCTTCTACTGGAACCATAAAACTTCTAGGAATGCCTGTGCTTTTCTTAATTTCTATGGGCTCTTGGTTTGTTCCGAGTGGACAATTTTTTATCCAGTGACCGGGTTGATGGCATTTGTAACAGCGATAATTTGCAGGTACATCACCAGTTTGATTGGCTCCACGTATCTTCATGTAACTGTTAAAAACATTTATTATGTATTAATAAGTTAATATAGGAACTTCATATAGGAAAGACTTCTGTTTGAAATTTTGCTTACTTTGATGGATCATAATCTTGTGTTGATTGTGTCATCATTGCTCGAATTTTATCCTCTTCGGAGCCATCAAGTCTTGTCAGGTCCACAGCTCGACCAAGATTCGCTTCATCTTTTAAATTACTAAACGATGGGGTTTCATTTCTATCCCAAGATCGTTTCTGTTGTACTGTTAATGGAACTCTGGCAACAATAAGGCTAGTATTCTTCGCGATCAAAGCATTATCATCTGTATAATCTGAAAAATGAATTCAATATTACATGTTAACTTCAATGTTGCACTGTAGTTACTATAAAAAATTTGATAAGTATAATATATTTGCCTTCTTTTGTCTGCGCATTTGTTATTTGCAAATCAAAATCGGTATTCTTTCCTATACGTTTCTGATGGAAAATAGCTTTCTTTAAGTCAGCTACAGAAATGTGCAGTCCATCAAAGGACACAGTATCATAGTCCAAAGTGGACTTAAATTTATAATGTACTGACATTTTGTTATTTACTTATCCTGTGAACAGATATTAAAAATTTTAAAACTTTATGAAAATCTCTTTTTAAATAATATTATATATTTACAACATATAAGTATTACTAACTGCATTATTATCATTAGTTTGTTCATAATTACAGACAATCTGAGTAATACAAAAAATGATTACAATGAAAATAAATAGTAATTAATAAATGAAAAATATTGTAAGGAGGAAAATCAAACAGTAAGCATACAATGTATATGTAACATTTTAATATATCTTTCATGTATTCTACCAAAGGTGTACTCATTGGATCTATCTTAAATATCATACAGCACACATATATATTCCATTAAGTATATCATTGAATTTGTCATTTGTAATATTGTAAAAAATCTCTGAAACATTTATGCACAAAGTTCTCCAACATTATACGACAAACGAACTCGACTGGTATACATACAAAGTAAGCATACTATGACTACAGAAAATGTAGAAAAGTAGTCCTCTTTTGTCATAATAGGTTAGTAGAATTAGATATACAATACTCCGGAGTGTTCGAAGTCGGTTAATTAAGAATGTATTCAAATTACTCGAGAGGTTGAGGCACAATGTTCGCGAATGAATAAAAAACGAAGATAAAAGTGAAATTATTACCTATTAACAAGTACTCACTACAAAATGAGTAAATTCAAATCGTGCAAGCGACAAACGTATTTTCATGGAGAACATACAAACATGATCCCCGACTTCTGACATGTTGCGGGGTCTAATAAATTTTCTGTGATATCTCTCGGGAATCTGAAAATCATCAGATATCTAACCTGTACACACGCGCGTGTAACGATTCCGATAAAACCGAGACACTACGAACAAAACACTGCAATCGCAAATCTGAAAAACACCAATTGACTATATAATTCAACCGTGAGTGTAGCAGAGACGTTCGGACATTGAATTTATAGATGGCACAATCAATAGGGCATACACGAATGTAAGAAATACAGGGTGTCGTAAAAAAAATGTTACCATACACAAGAAAAATATTTCAGCGTAGTTCGTTATAAAAATTGAAAGAAAATTTAACGATATTTAATAAACACTTTATAAACGATCAAATTATTATAACATTCTTTTTGCGACACCCTATAGTTGTCCACATTTATTCCAACTTCCGCGGGCAGTTTAACAACGTGAGCACCCTCTATGTCGTTGTATTCTATGATCGATTCGTAGCGCCAAAATTGCTCGTGACAATAACAGTAATTAATTTATTATTTTGGCGCCTATTCGCTTCGATCGTATAACCACAGACGAGGTAACTTATCTACTATCATCGACGAGGTATAAGAATACGTATTGCAAGCTTATGGGATTTGTGTCACATGTTCTAAATTACTAATTTAGAGAATGGTGAATAGGAAAATTACGAGCAAAATGATCGAAGTTGATTAAGTAGTAAATATGGTAAATTAATATACAAATGTCACGAACTTGAGATATGTACCGACTGTGCATACAATGTATTTTTTTATCAACATGTGCCCAGCGTACACGTGTTTGAACCATGCCAGTTAATGTAAATAAAATAAAAACACGAATGGAAAGAAAAGAAAATTAAAATGGTACTCACAGTATATGCTCGTTTTTGAAAGGCACGTTTCAGAGGTATACATGTAGGTACTTACACTTGCTGCCTAATTGTTTCTGTTAAAACAGAACATCTTAAAAGATAGATCGGATTGTTAAGTAATTATTGCGCCATTCATAATTATTAAGATTTATGTATATTTGATTTGGTTAAGTAAATTTTGTCAGTGAATTGGGACACCTCCAACGGTGTCGATAATTCAGCATAGTCGATAAAATATTGCATTGCATGCTACGTCTCTTTAACTTTTTAGTCTGCGGTTTTATTATAGAGGTCGTTAGGTATGAATTAAACACGTATCATTGTCTATAAATTGTATAAATAAATTAGTTTGATTATTATGTTTTTTATATAGACCTTGGTATTTCTCTACGCTCGTTTGGAAATTTACAAAATCATTCCATTGTATAGGTAACTTGGGTGGTTTCAGGGAATAAAAAAGTCACAAAGTTGTTATCGATAGCGGTGAATTTTCTGCGGTGAATTCGAGAGATCGTGTTATTCGATTGTGACAAAGTTCACGTATTACGTGTACGAAGCTGAGAGCATAACAAATTTGTCGTGATGTGGGTAATGATTGCATTCAGATAACGCACAGTAACGAGCATCATGTGATGAGAAATTTGAGGGAAGATAAACCTGGGAAGAATATTGGTCTTTAGGTGTATGGAAGATCATAAATATTACACCAATGGCCTATCAATCGTTTCGGGAAGAATACATGCAAATGCCAGTAGTGACACGAGCTTATACAACAGCTTGTGTCATCACGACCCTCGCAGTGGTTAGTGCAAAGAATTGAATTACAGAGATTTTTCCACGTGTACAGAACACACTGGTTTGTGATACGATCATATATTCATTTAATTCTTTCTAATTTCAGCAACTAGACTTAGTATCCCCGTTTCGACTATATTTTAATCCAACATTGATTCTAGAACAATATCAGGTAAAAATGTTGCAAAGTAATCTTCATTCTATGATTCTTTCTTGAGGAATTTATAATTATCCTTGTTGTGTCAAATTTCCTAGGTATGGAGATTAATAACAACATTTCTGTTCTTTGGGAACATGGGTTTCAATTTCTTCTTCAACATGCTGTTTACGTACCGGTACTGTCGTATGCTGGAAGAGGGTTCTTTTCGCAGAAGAACAGCAGACTTTGTAATGATGTTCCTCTTCGGAGGCATATGTATGATTGTATCCTTTTAATATTGATTCAGTTAACTTCAGTAAGCTGTATAGAATACAAAGACATCGATAAAATGTGTTCAAAGAAAATTCCCTGAACTAGTTATAGGTGTTTGCGTGTTTTGTTAATTTATTATTTCTGGGTCATGCATTAACTATTATGTTGGTGTATGTATGGTCGAGGCGAAATCCATTTGTCAGACTCAACTTCTTTGGACTATTAAATTTTCATGTAGGTTCAATTTTGTCTTATGCTTTTAGCATTTAAGGAATATAGATTATTTTCATGTATTTTTTTAGGCACCATATTTGCCTTGGGTGCTCCTTGGGTTCACTGTACTTCTTGGTAATGCGTTGTGGGTAGATCTAGTTGGTATGGCTGTAGGACATATGTATTATTTTGCGGAAGATGTATTGCCACGTTTAAGGGGAGGTTACCGTGTTCTTAAGACTCCACAAATACTGTAAGTGTTATTACAAATAAGAAAGGAAATATGTTTTAAAAATGTTGCTAAGAATACAATGTTTGTTAACAGTAAGACTTTATTCGACGCACATCCGGAGGACCCAGACTATACCCCGCCACCTGGAGACCGTCCTGGTGGATTCAATTGGGGGCCAGAAGCGAATGTGCAATGATTCTAAATTTCAAGTCCTGCTTCCAAACCATCTCTTACCAATTGGCATATCAAGTAAATTTTTCTATTATTAGATATACGACATTGTTCCTTGATTTTCCCAGTTACTAACAAAAGTACTAAGTAATTACATTGTCTATGATACTATGCAAAGTATAGAAGACATCTATAACGACGATAAGACTTCCAATTTTTTACAGGGGTTACAATTTTTCACACGAGAAACTTTGGTATTAAGTGGAATAGCTGTCTGTTTTTCAGATTATATATTGTGCAAGAGATGTACACTGAGAATTATAATGAAAACAGTATTTCCCAGATAATCGACTATTGTGATACATTTATAATACTGACGATTTTTAGAGATGTATACATAAAAAAAAAAGAATCAAATTTCATGTTCCGTGTCTTTACATTTATTTGTGATGATTATAATAGGTATAATTTACGAAACACCTACAAAGTACAAAATTTAAAATATGCGTGTAAAAATAATTTTAACTGTTTTACCGTATTTTGCTTTGTCAAATTCATTTTGAAAAAATGTGTCTAATCTCGATAAATTTGTTTCAATGCTGTTTTCGTAGTTGTTATAAGCACTGTGCACAGTATAAATTTTTGCTGCAATGTTGTGCCTGAATAATATACAATTTTAACTAAACATAAAAGGTTGCAACTCTTATGCTCTTCATATATAATGCCTTTTGTTAGAAAAAGAAATACTTTTGTCATAAAATGTGAAGTACTATTTTTTACGTTTTACAGAGTCATGAAATTGAAACCCCTGATCCTAAAGAAGTTCTAGTATAAAAATCTTTAATAATTGAGTAATGTAAATACTTTTATTTATTCAGGTGCATTAGAAAATTCGTTTAATTTTACATTATTTACAAGGTAATATATTTGATAACGTGTTTGTCAACAGAATGCATAATACTTGCTAATAATAATACAATACATCACAGTCTTTTTCTTTCGTTGTGGGCATTTGATACTAAAAGAAACCAATAGAAAATACTTGTAAGTTATATGGTTATGCAGAAACCAGTAAATATTTAAAACTATTGGGAAGTAACATTGCTTTTCTTGTTGTTGTTTCCGTCGTTTCCATCATTTCCATGTATGTATGCACGAGTGGAAACAAAGCCTAACAAGTTGCGATAAATATTGTGTATATATTCCAATTGAATACACATGTTTGGGTATATTGGGTTACACGGTGGTGTGTTTAGGTGAATGTATAGTTATTAATTGGGAGATTTATTTCTATTTCTATTCAATAGAAAGGGTCGTTTATAGTGTTTTGTATCCTAAGGTATTACTTTACACTGTGATGTATTCGTATTGCCAAACAAACGAATGCATCCACAATACCTATTAGGAGAATACATTGGTCAAACCTTCTGCGACAAAATGCTTGTCTGCAAAAAGTTTAAACATTGCAATGAATTTCCACTCAAATAATTGTTTACAACTTACCAAATAATAGTCATTTTGTAAATATTAGATAAAAATGTTATTTATACGACCATTGCAATTAAATAAAATGGTTTGACTTAGTTTGACATATTACTGCTGTACACATTGTATGTATATCATTAATCTGTATGTAATAGTATATATACGTATTGAGTCTGTTTGCAAAAGATTCAATGCATTTATTTATTACAGTTAATTTTTATATAGTACATCTCATAGTTTGTCAGTTTTTACACGTTTTATCCATAATGCATTACAGTGTTACATGTTATTGTGCCATATAATACATAGTTATTATTTCACACAGTTAGTAAATAAGCAGTCATCAAATATTTGGTGCATGTATCGCTTTCTTATTATGAACACGAAGGAGATAAATGAAAGAAAGAAAAAAAACGAGATGATTTACAAAACCATTTATTTAGATTTAAATAATAAATGATTATTATAACAGAATATAATGATGTATAACTAGGTACATATACGCAATGACATGGACTATAATACAATGATCAAGATTCTATTGTACATATTTTATTATATTGCCACCGTTGCTAAAAGCACTGTAATGTCATCTGGTTTACCACCTGAAAAATACAAAACACAGATTGTGGATACACATTTACTTATTGATTCATTTGAGCTATCCTGAAAAGTAAACTTCCATTATTAAGATTTTCATTTAGGACAAATAAAATGAAGATCTTATTTATTGAATTTATTTGAAATCAACAGATCTTTCTCGGTAATATGTTTATTGTTAAATCAAATAGTGTATTCGTGTAAGTTGTTTGTTTTAGGTGTAAGAATTGAACAATATTTAAGGTACTACAAAAGGAGAGTAAAGTTAATACAAAGTCACCACCAAAGTATAAAAAATAGGTACATACATAAGACATAAGAAATTGTGAAATGTATGCTTTAAATAAATTGTATATATTTTTTATTGAAAATTATTTGTATTATAAGCGATCAGGATCATGTAATGTAATGTAATGTAATGTAATGTAATGTAATGTAATGTAATGTATAATGTAAAACGTAATGTAACGTGACGTAATGTAAAGTAATGTACAATGCATCAATTTTTATGGATTAGACAATATTGCCAATAAAATTGATGCATTCCTTTGTGGTATATTTGGTATATCAATATAATATTGCATACCTATAGTGTCAATTCCATTCTCTCTAGCACTTTGGGCGAATGGAGACATAAATGCGCCATCGAAAGCTAAGCTACGAGCCATCCAGGCTATTGAATTGGCAACTCCTTGTATTTTAGTGGGATCTCTTTCCCCTTGAACTTTACGCATTTCCGTAATAAGCAATTGGTCAGGCACATTATCAAAGACCCCGTCTGTTGCCAATAAAATTACATCGCCGTCTTCTACCCCAAAACTCGATGTATCTGCAGATTCTGGGCTGAAGCAGAAATAGAAACAAAATGGTACACTATACGTTAATGTCCTTTCATAGAAGTCTTCTATGCATACAAGTGCTTTACATAGCAAGTACCCCATATATTAATTCTTAGTATACCCCCAGGTATATTTATCTTCATAGAAAAGACTGTACCTGTCGCTAAGTACTAGACCAGAATGTCCTGGAGGTGGAAGAGACAATTGAAATGGAGTATTAAAGTAGTGTTGCTGTTCGGAAGAACGATGAACTACTTCCCCTTTTCGTACAACTACAAAACCACTGTCACCGATATTAGCTGCATAAATGCTGCTAGTCTCTCTATTGAGGACTATAACACACGCCGTACTGCTACCTGAAATAATATTTCTCCCATATTACAGAAAGCATAATATATTTCTAAACATTATCATCAGACAAAATGGATTCTCTTCATACCTAATATGGGTTGTTTATTTTCTAGTAATTCATAGTAACTACGTGCTAACAAACCAGCTGGTTCCGAAGGCTTGAACCTGCCCATAGAGACCAGTCTTTCGCAAGTTCTCATTAGAAAGCTAGAAAATTCTCCTGGATCGATTCCATAATGCCTCCATCCTCCTACACCGTCCGCTACACCTGCAGAATCAAAAGAAACATTTAATTATTCGATAACATCAGTTTGGTAAGCGCCCAAAATGTTAATTGCAAAAATACGCAAGAGTAATCTTGCATCTGATACAGGTAAATAAATAGCGTTAACAATCATCTAGCTAAACCAAATGAAAAGGAAGCACTAAAGAACAGAGAAAAAAAAATAAAGAAAGAAAGCATCGGGGAGTAGAAGCATAGCAGTTTGTGTACAAACATTGTGAAACACGTATGCAAAGGCTGTTGTTACCTATCACTTCAACAGCTTTAAATTTGGCACTGAACCAAGCGTCGTCACCGAATTGCCCTTTGCGTACACGTCCTCGCGAGAAGTCTTTGGGAAAGCCACATACCGCTGATATAAAGGATGCTTCGCGATGTTTTTTCACGTTAGGGTCGGCGCACGCTGTATAATTTGATATACCATTCCATATCGCCCGAGACAGTAGCCTCCCGGTCCAATAAATGGACTGCATCATACGGTGAGGCTCAAACTCTTGTGTCGCACATCTTTACCAACTAAACAACGAATCTGCATGAATCGTGCAGCACGATTCACGAGTGTGTCGGAGGCATGTTTCTGAAAGAGGGTCTGATGCGTGATGAAACGTCAATCGGATCGATCCTCGTTGTTCCTTTCTGTTTCACTCAACATCGATTCAACACCGTCCTCGGAACCTGATCCACGATCCAAGCAACGAAGATCGGTCACCGCGATTCCTAATGAAATTATCTCCTGCTGGGGTTTGAAGCGAAAAAATCCATCCACCAGCGCTCCGTTAAGAAACCAACAACCTGAACCATCTTCAGTTATCTCACATCGATGAACAGAACAGTGCTCCCCCTACTCTTGAACGTCGAAAATCACTGCGAAGCATTCCCGTCTACTAATACGGTATTCCGTGGCGTGAATTGCACTGGATAAGTTAATTGTAAAGTTACCTTATTGTTCTAACTATTTTGAAGTTTATTTGGGAATTAATGCATGATACATATTATTAATACCGTATAATAGAATAATAAATGTCGCAAGGCAATTGAAATTTTAAAAGCGGTGATATTAAACTATGATGTCCGGTGTGACAACTTGATATTATTACGTTTCGTAATTAGAGATGTCACTCGTAATTTAAATGAAGGTATAATATTTAAGTTAAATTGTAATTACTGGATAATTGGAAATTAGACTGAAGAGGATCATAGTGAACTAACTACGAGTCAAAAATTGTGCTGCAATTCTCGAATGGGGTCCATTGCGATTCTCGAATGTTCCTTCGATTCTCGAACGTCGCTCTTTCGATTCTCGAATGGGAATTCAAATTTCATTGTGGGTACTCGTGCGCGTAACAATGTAAGCATGCAATTTTATTTTAATACCGCGATATTTGCAACAATTCTTGTTTGTATTGATGATAATTTATTTGAGATTTGTTTAAATATCTTCAACTATATGATTTTTTATATTTCAGATTTCTTTTCACGCATGTCGATGACAATAAAATAGAGGAGCATGATGCGAGGTAAGAAAACGGGAAGGTTTTAATATAATAAAATAACAGCGACACGTGTCTTTGAGTAAATCTCTTTACTAATGTTTATTAATAAACATTTTATATAGATTATTTTAATTCATTATAATTTAATACCTGTCTGCTGTTGTTGTTTTCTTGTTGTTGCTCTTGCTGTCGCGATCGAATAAGTTTATCGTTATATTTACACTATTCAGTATAAAATGCGAGTTCAAGATTAAATCACACCACTATGTTTTATGGACACTATCTGTCATCGATTAATAATTATCAATGCTTGTACTCGGGAAAATGCGAAGGGGGCAGTAGGGCAGTATTTTCGTTATCACTAGTGTTGTTGGTATTTAATTCTTTAGGGGAACCATTATTTATGTTACAATCTAGACTAAATGTATCGTCTAGTGGGCATTTGTTAATATTAGGCAAGTGATTAACATCGATTCCACGAACATCAGGGAGGAGCTTTTGTTGTTGATGGGATTGAGCATTTTCAGTCTCGTCATTGTCGAGACCATTGTTGTCAGTATGGGGTGGGGATGGATAATAGCCACGCTGCTGTATTGGCAGTTGTTCCACCGGCAGTTGGTGTTGTTGTTGACATTGATGCTGTTGTGACGACGGCTGCTGCTGCTGCTGCTGCTGCGGCTGCTGCTGCTGCTGTTGTTGCTGTTGCTGCTGCTGCGGCTGCTGCTGCTGCTGCTGCTGCTGCTGCTGCTGCTGCTGTTGCTGCTGCTGCTGCTGCTGCTGCTGCTGCTGCTGCGTGTGATGATGGTGGTGATGTTGTTGCTGCTGAGATTGTTGGTGATGTTCACATTGGCCATGATGATGGTGTTGCTGCAACAACTGCATCGAACCACCGTCAGTCATTGCAGGTGGCGGCGGTGGCGGCGGCGGCGGCTGCTGCGGTGGCCGGTGTTGCACTCCGTCCTCACTAGTCCATCGGGCTAGTTGTTGTTGAGCTTGAATAAATGCATCACTAGAAAATAACAAGATTACACGAGCCCATTGGATCTATTCCACGACCACTAATGCTGCATACGCGCGTCTAGGCCGCGGACACGCGGTTATACTCGCCTCCAACAAGCTCCTAACTCTCAGACTCGGCCTCTTACCTCGTCAAAGACCAGTGTTACGCGTGCACACGCTCTTTACTTGGGATCACAATCCTCTCCAAACTGTGCACAGGGTGAGAAACAGTATACTTTCCAAGATTGATATATTTGTACGAATATTTCAAATCGATATCTCTTTCCCCAGACATTCTACTTGGCAGACTGCCATTGACGAAGGCAGATACCATGAGAGACAAGATAAACATGGTAATTTTCAACTGATTCAACGAAGAATATCACAGGCGTACGTACACATATATACGTAAGCATATACTCTGTACACTTGGATAGAACTGGTCTGTTCGTAAAGGTAAATCATTAGAAGCAATATTCTCTCTGCGGTTAATTGATTGTTATAACGCACGTGTATGTACAGATCATCTTTCGTACAGCGGGAATACCTTGCTTCGAGTAACCGTTAGCTGACCACGGTAGATGGGACAGATAGATGACGCGTACATATACGTGGATGCGCATTACGTACACAGAAAGCCGTCTAGCCGTCTAGCGCGTGCGAAGCTCTGCAATTGATAAACAATGATCGCACACGGTGCGACAGAGGAGGAGAAAGGAAAGCTTCAGATAAGGATAAGTGCCCGATCGTTGTAGCGCGTCGTGAACCGCAGACAATCGATTTCCAGAATGTTTGTGTTCCCGATACCGTCAAGTAATGAACGTATGTATCCGGCATCGGTTCGAGCACGCTCTACAGAAATACTCGCTTGCGCATTTAAAGAGACGAGGCCCACAAGTATATACTCTAAGAATTTCGAGACGACTTGCCAGCACATTCACAGCGTATCGCAAAAGCAGCTGAAACAGTAGAATAAGTAGCATGCGAAAGTTGGTGTGTTCGGTTTGCATCCGATTCTGTGGAGGAGACTCGACAAACAGAGAAATATATACATATGTTGTCTTCGCCCATGTGATTCGTTTCTGTCGTGTCCACAGACCCGGCGAAACACTGATTTGGAAATTTCACCGAATATAAAAGACGAGGAATATATATGCCGAGTCTATTTATATCCCGTTTTTCACTTGATTCACATTTGGGATAATGTTCGTCGAGATGCTCGTGGTTTAGTGGTTGTATTAGCTGAATCCGGTCTCTCTCGAGAATCCACGCGTTCCCGCGGGCATGCACCGATCCTTATCTGAATGAACGTTCACTGCGGTGATGGGAATTGATGTGAGGAGCCAACATTGTCACCGCCTCTTCAAGGTATCAATCATTGTTCTTCTTCGTACCGGATCGATAAGAGAATTCCCTCGAGCTTATTCGAGATTATTCGCACTCGATCATTGTTATCGTGTCAAGCGGTTTAGTCTGATAGCAATAAATACCCTGTGCTTTCATATTTACAGGAAGGAGCTTGAGGGGGTTGGACCTTGAAGAAGCTGAGCACGAGCCGCTTGCTACTCTAAGTACTCGCGGCGCGTTATCGAGGAGGGACGCAGTTTTCTGATCAATCGTCGATCAACGTGACGCGACCAGTCTCGTGCTGGATTAATTGAACATTAATCGTCTGGAAACTGGTGAGAGGAGACTTAGCGGAGGGATTCATGTACCGGAGGACTTCAACAACGACGGTTTTCACTACGGCTCGGTGGATTTCTGTATCTACGGACAAGCCCGTTTCTTATTGAAAGAATCTGCGGATACCTTTCACTATCGGGCGTTTCACCCCTAGCATTTGAGCCTCTGTCAGTGTCGGCAGTTTCATAGATACCCTCCTCCACTTGCATTTGATGGGAGTGTCGAGTGTGCTGATGGGTGCCGTAAGGACTCGACGACGGCTGACGGCATCGACCGTAGGTATCGTCGCGGCCGCGGCTACACCTTCTGCTTCTACGTAGGAAATCGAATCAGTTCCTTTAGAAGTGGCCCCATCTACTGTTTAAGTACGTCTACCCGTTAGATGGTTAAGATGGTTACAATGGCGACATTATTCGTCTTTGCTCTTTATCCGCGAGTCCCAACTATCCCAAATCAGAGTCTCCCTTTTGCTCCCTCCGCGTGGAGCCAAGAGAGACACGGTATAAACAGACTCTGCATTATGAAGTCGTGCGGGTAAACCTTCGCCGAGGTGTTACCAGCGACCTCGTGTGATAATACTGTCACTACGCTAACGCTACTAGTAGTCAGACGCGTGTCTGGATGGGTACGGTATTATCTCGTTGTCCGAACCGAGTCTGGCTGCGCGAAACGGTTCTGAGACAGAGGTGATCCTCGTTAGCGTTTCAGTTATTCTCGAATGAAGCTACTTCGGACGTCTACGGGACACTTTTATGTATTACGTATTCACTTGGATTAAGTAGGCAGCCACGTAGATACTCGTTTCATAATTATTCCAGGGGAACAACCGCCACGGTGACCGGGGAAGCTCTACCAAGCCAAGTGGCACGGTGTTTCTTCAACGAGACAATATCGTGGTCGTATACGTAATCGAGGAAAAGCAAAAGATACAAAGACAAACTGGCCAGAGAAGAGAAAATGTAAGCAACGACGCATCGGTGACAGAGTAAAATGTAACAAGAGTGAGCTGGTGGCAGCCGGCGTGAGACGAGTTCCCTCAAACTAGAGTACGTATCGCGACGAAGGTGGAGTATCTGAAATGTTCCCAATATTGTCAACCCGATTCCTTGGCGACTCCCCGTGTGACGCTGTTTTCAGAACTGACCGCAATTCTTCGGGGTCTCAGCCGAGGTCTCGGAAGACCGGCGGAGACGAATATATTCGGCTGCGAGATTCAAGCAAAGGACAGCCGTTCGAAACGACGTAGAAGCGACGAGAACGCGCGAAGAAGATAATATATGTAAGCGTGTGGCGAATGAAGCTTTCTTTTTGGATCTTTCGCTTGTCAGTTCTTACCCTTGGGAGGACTCGCTACAAACGGACGAATCTATTCTGTAGTGGCGATCAGCCTCGCTCTCGGATATCCGCATCTCCTCGGAGCCGCACGGACTCAAGTGGCTGATGTGACGAGACGAGTGACGCTCCAGCTGCTTGATGAGGTCCTCCAGATTGCGGATGCGGAGCACGCTGCAGGTCCCTTCCTCGCCCTCCTCCTCGTCGTCCTGGTTGTCGATGTCGTCCTGACCGTCCATGTCCTTGTGGCAGGTGTCCGGGTAGCCGCACTCCGTCAGAGGTTTCCGCAGTGTCTCGTCGTTCACCATGTTCCCGCCGGCGGAGGTTGTCTCCGACAATTCGCGGCGGATCTTCGCTTTCCTCAACGCCTCCATGATGTTCTCGTGGTAGCCGTTCAAGCTGTCCATGCGATCCAGGTTCATCACGGTACCTCCTTCTATACTCAGTCAATTATAACACCGATTATAATCAGCTCTGTTCAGCTGGGGGTCCTAGCAGACAGAGGGTTTGCATGTAGACACCTCGAACTTGTTTAACCCTGTGTGTTCTGATATTGTAATAATATCTTAGATACTTTAACAGAAATATTTGTCCAATTACTAGAGCATACGTAGGTTAAATACTTGTTTATACAGTGTCTCGATATTCAGTTTAGAAAAGAATCTATACAAGATAAGCTGTGGATTGATTTTAATCAAATTGGAGCTTTAAACTAGCCTCAGAACATAAAGGGTTAACGAAATGATTCGAACACAAAGTTATCGTTCTTTTAAAGGAACGCTGTCTTATGTCGAGGCGACAACGCCCTCCCCCATTGGTTTGCGTGGGAGTCTGTCTGTGAGTATAGCCAGCAGCTATTACAATACCGTAATCGGGGTTTTTCTTTAAGATTCCCTTCCCAGGCTTGTTCGGTACATCAATGAAAGAAACAACTTCCTCGCCTCCCGTACCTCCGTCTTCCTCATTAATGGCGAGCTTCCTCGACTGCAACCTGTGATCCCTGAAAATGGTCAGGCAAAAGAACAATTGGTGTCACGCATTCGACAGTGGTCATTCTACGGTTTTCTTGTGTCCGACGTTCGCGGATCCTCGAGACCTGCCGTTTCGAATCTAGACCTCCGAGCGTGTCGGGGATTAATTTGCTTCAAGAAATAATACCAATCTGTCTAGGAAAGGTGTACTCGACTATCTGTACGTACCGCGAGTCTTATCAATTCACGAAACAAGTTCACTTGTACCAATGTGTTTCATATCATTTGAATTTTACTTTGACCTTTCGGCACAGTCGCCTCCCCTTTCTTTTATTACCGTGCATCCAACGTGTACGTGCTCATATATTTCTCATATTTCTCAGGTGACAGTAGAGACGGACTTTCTTTCACTCGAGGACCAAAGGAGTGGTAATTCGCTCCCTCAGAAGCCAATGCAGTTAAGTAAATTCTTTGATACTTTCTAATTTTCATCAATTTTAATGTAATAAATAATCTTGTTTTGTTGCAGAGCCTGCCCTTTGAGCAAAGACTTCATATATTTCTCTGGCCAAATTAATGAACTGAAGATTCTCAAGACCAATGCATTAGGGGACATTAATTTCCTCAAATTTTGTTTTCTGGATTTAAACATTGGCTTCTGAGCGACTCGATTATTACACAAGAGCAAGTCCGCTCTTTCAACCAGCATTTCCTTCAGATAACTGGGATCCATTCTGTCTAAAATTACGCGCTCTCGATCTCCCCGCGAACGTTGCTCTCCTCATTAACAGTTCTCTTCCCGCGGGAAGCTGATTTTATCAGGGAGTGTCGTAACATTCGCGAAACAGCCTTTTTTCGTTCAGTCGCGATCACGTAGCGACGCGTTCCTTCGCCTTCACGCTCGTGTCTCGTCTTCAGTCGAGCCACCGATTGAACACGTGACACGTGTGACAACGCGAGCGACATTCAGCGTGTTTCCCGACAGTCTGTGAACCACGGAGAATGTCCAGAATAATTCAGAGATTGTCGCATCGACTCTAGGATCATG